GGATCGCCATTTCTTTTGAAAACCCACCAGGGAAAACACCTTTAATTTCAGAGTTCCAAACCCCCAAAAAAGATGGGAGCACTCAAGCAAATGGCAGAGCCTTTCATTGCCAAGGCCTGTGGCTGCTTTGCAGCTGAGCAAGTAGCCTTGGTTTGTTTTTTAGTTGTTTTTTTTTACATTCACTAAATCAAAACCCCATCTGCAAGAAGCGTTGCAAACACGGGAGCTGGTGGAGGAACCACGTTATTAATGATGCGTTTTGTACCTTCTCCAGAACGTCGGTGGTGGAACTGCCGTGGTCCAGGTCCGTGCCACCGACCGGGATGCTGGCCTCAACAGTGTCCTCTCCTACTACATCACCCGTGGGAACGAGGACCTGACCTTCCGCATGGACCGTGTCACGGGAGAGATCGCCACCCGACCCTCCCCGCCCGACCGCGAGCGGCAGAGCTTCTACAGCCTGGTGGTCACTGTGGAGGATGAGGGCAACCCCTCCCTGTCGGTGAGTCCCCCCCAAGGGGTTGGCAAGGGGGAAGGTGGAGCTGGGCAGCTCTGTGGGAAGGGAGGTTGGCATGGAGAGGTTGAGCAGGCACTGGAGCGATGTTTTGGTGAGCTGGTTGTGTCTTGGGGTCATGGAATGATAGAATCAGCCATAGAGCCATTCAGGTTGGAAAAGCCCCTCGTTGCAGCTCCAGAAAACAAGCACGTGTGGGTGAGTCTTGCTGTGCACAACCCAAACTGTCTTTAGATTGCGTTTTCCACAAAGCCCTAATTCCTTTCTGTGTGGTTGGAATGTCTTCGTTCATAGCCTGGTTTAGAGAGGACTTTCCTGACATTTCCTTGTGCAAAGCCCTGAGGAATGTCACAGAGCTGAGTGCTCATCAAAAACCTCAACCCAGCTGGAGGGCTCCTTAGGAAAAGCTCCTCCATGGACACACACACTGTGCAGTGTTTTGTGGGACGTGCTCAGCAGAGGGTCCCCCCCAGAGAGGTTGTGGAGTCTCCTTCTCTGGAGACTTTCAAGACCTGTCTGGATGCCTTTCTGAGTGACCTGGCCTAGTTTTTGGTCCTTCTCTGGCAGGGGGCTTGGAATTGATGGTCTTTGGAGGTCCTTTCCAACCCCTGACATTCTGTGATTCTGAGATTCCAACCATCATCCCTACTCTACCAACTTCGTCCCTAAACCATCTCCACCAACACCACATCCAAACGACCCTTCAACACATCCAGGGATGGTGACTCCACCACCTCCCTGGACAGCCTGTTCCAGTCTCTGACCACTCTTGCTGTGAACAAATTTTTCCTCATGTCCAGTCTGAACCTGCCCTGGTGCAGCTTGAAGCCCTTCCCTCTTGTTCTGTCACTGATTACCTGTGAGAAGAGACCAGCACCAACCTCTCTACAATAACCTTCCAGGTAGTTGCAGAGACTGATGAGGTCTCCCCTCAGCCTCCTCTTCCTCAGACTGAACATTCCCAGGGTCCAAACTTGTCTGGTGTGAATCAGAGCCTCCTTCAGCACCTGGTCCTAGGCTGCAGGGGTTGTTCTGCCCACTTGCTCTTTGTGCCGAGGTCTGAAAGGTCTCGGGGTGTTGCTGTCACCCATCTCAGGGCAGGGGGTGGCTGGAGCAGCAGCTCAACCAGGGCTGAGCTTGCAGTGGACCCACATATGTCTGTTCAGGTGCCTGCAAATGAGATGAGCTCTGGTAAGGATCCCCAAGGGGAGTTGTGGTGTGAGATTTGGGCAGATTGTTGGTGGCATCACACCCACCTGGAGCAGCCTGCCCACGAGGAGCAGGGTCTGGGCATGGAGCTGGAGGCTGACACCAGAGCCCTTCCAGCACCCTAGGGTCTGAGCAGGTGCCACCTCACTTTTGAGTGAGGAGTGCCAGGTGGGTGCCTGCATCTGCTGCAGCCTGGCTTCTCTCCCTCACTCCTGCCCCTCTCCATAAACGGTGAGTCTCATCGTTGGTGCCTTTCAGGAGGACTCTGGTGTGGGAGAGCCAAGGCAGCCAATAACCTTTGGGGTGTTTCCCAACCCCAAGTCCCTCCTAACCCCCCAGCTCCGCGGGGAGATGCCCAATCCCTGGGCACACCAAGCAAGTGCAGATTGTGAAGGGGAAAGGCCTGATACCCACCTTGCCATCCTTCCTCTCCCCACCTCCGCGTGCTATCTCCTCCCCATCGCCCTGCTCCCCTGGCACAGCTCTGGCTGCAAAGCCCTGTGCTACCTCCTGAGGAAGCAGGTTGCAGGCAGAGCTGCAAACTGTGGCTTCCAGCTCCCACCTCAGGCTCTGCACACTCCTCAACTCCACCCTCCCCAGCAGTTCACACGCCTGCATCACCATCCTTTCCTGAAGCCACTGCAGCTTAAACCTGGGTGAGGCTCTTGCTCCAAAATGAGCAGGAGTCAGCTTGGTGTAGCTGCAGCATCCGATGCCACCACTTCCTCCCTCATCTGTCCCCATCAGCCCCAGCACCTTGGGAACTCCACTGATACTGCTGTGGATGGAGGAATGTGGCTGGAAATGCCATTGCCATGGCAATGCCCTCTTCTCTTCCTGGAGGAGGACAAGTGACACAGCTTCACACTGCTGAAGTGGTGTCCCAGCAGCCTCACTTGACCTCCAGGTTTCTGCTGCGTCACCACCAGGCCAGTGATGCCAGCAGCCATCAAAACCCCAAAGAAACAAAGTCTCCAATGACCCAATTCCTGAGCAGAGAGAGGAATTTCAGCCCTTTTTGGAGCTTGAGGGCACTTAGCTCTTGTGAAAGGCTGTCCTGCATGTCACTCGGTGGTTGCTGGCCTCGTGCCTGGGTGATGAAATTGTGTCTGTCAGGAGTTTGTCACCTACAAGAAACTTCAGTTTCACAAGTAAGTCTAGGCTGATGCAATGATGCACAATTATTGTTTGTAATTCGTTTATGCCTCAAGATTTGGCCTTCTGAGTATGGGAGAGGCAGAAGAGCCAGAGCTGGGGAAGGACTTGGAAGTCCTGTGGTGATTTGTGACACCCAGGACAGCAAGGGCACAAGGAACACTGGCCATCCTCCTGGGAGCTGGAAATAAAGAGGCAAAAGGGTAAAAATGCTGATGGTAAAATTTACCCCAAAAAAACCCACAAAACATGTCAGGAAACATGTCACCTTCCCAAGCTGCTGAGCTGCAACTGGAAAGTCTTGGGTGGGAATGGCAGGGGTCACAAGGGCACTGTCTGACCTGGCACAAGCCTGTGGCTGCACCTCCCTCTGCCAATCCCACCCATCACCTCTTTCCCCTAAAAATCTTCTGTTGTCCTTCTGGTGAGCTTTCCAAGTGGGACACAGTCCCTGATGCCGCCCCCTGCCCCACATCAGTGCCCCTGGCAGAGCACGTGGCTGCTTAGCTCACCTCTGCCTGCCTTTGGCACAGGCCACCCCAAAAACTGGGATTCAGCCAGCACGGGGGGGAAACCTGTTCCCAACAAAGCTTTCATCTGTTGTCATACAGTACGTTCATTAGCAAACAGAGGCTTGGAGAGGGTTGGAAAGTGGTTGGGACCCTCGGGCAGGCAAAACCACCCCCCAAACTGCCTTTCCGGCTGCAGCTGCTGGGATGGGGAGAACTGGATTGTCTTGAATTAGCTCTGGCTGAAGCCACCAGTGGATTAATCAAATCCTGCATCAGGCTGGGGTGTCCCCAGCCCCTGGCAGAGGCAAACACCGTTTCCTCCAGCTGGGTAGGGTGAGAATTTGGCATGTTGCCCAGGATGCCCTGCCTGGGCACTGATCCCCATCGCTGCTGCTCAGGTCTGATGCTGGTTTGCTATGACTAATGTTTATGTTTGGCTAGCAGCAATGTATTATTTTCTTTCCCCATTTTACACTAAAAACAAAAGCAAGAGGAAAAAAAAAAGCCAAACAGTAACCAACAAAAACCAAACACACCCTTTGAGTAATAGTGTCCACCACGAGGTTTTATCTCCTCGCCAGGGGCTGAGTCACTCTGGAACCTGACCCGGAGCTTCTTCTGGAATAAGTGATGCTGTGCTGGGAGGGAGGATGCTCTGAGGGTACCTGCATTCCCTAGGGCATTGCAGGCTCCCCTGGCATGGCTGAAGGCATGGGAGGATGGGGGGGAAGTCAGTCAGAGTTCTTCCCACCACCCACTTCATTCTCCCTGCCTCTCTGTAGGGCCTCTCAGCCACATCCCTGAAACATCCTCCTACACCCTCCAGATGAACTTTCTAATTTACACTCCTGTTTGAAAAGAAAAAACAACCAACCGACCAAAAAAAAAACAACAACCAACCAACAAACCCCACAAACATCCTTTTTTTTTTTTTGCTTTTAATCAGCACTGATAATGAAGCAAACAGAGAAATTCCTCTGATCCCAATCCCGGGATAAAATTGCAGCAGAAAGAAGGCTCCTCCCGACGTGCCTCCAGCTGAAAAGGCAGCCAGCTCACAAGTCCGGGGCTGTCTCAGAAAGCTGGTGGGGAAGGAGGGCTCTGTCAGCAGCAGGGAGCCTCTCCCCTTCCTGTTTTGCAAAGAAAAAAGGTAGTTACAGGGTTGGCCAGTGACCCTGTTTTGTCTTGCAGTGGATAAAGTACTTTACCATCCGCTCCTGGAGAGGATGTTCAGTCAAAGCTGCAGAAACAGGTTGATGTTGGCAGAGCTCGATCCCCCTGACAATAAATTAAATCCTCAGGGAGGTTTGCAGGTCCTTCCTTCCCTGCCTGCCCGGTTTTCAGCTGGTCCATAAAAGATGAGCTGTTCTCCACAGGAACAAGCAGTGAAAAATCCAAAATCCGAGCACAAGAGGTTCATTCCCAGCCCTGGGGCAGAACGAGGAGAGGAGGTGAGGGCAGGGCTCCCACATTTGGCAGCTCTTTGTAAGGCTTTGTTGCCCGTGGCTGGGGTCTTAGGGGTCTGGGGGGTCTTGGTAGGGTGAGGACAGAGTGGTGGCTTCTTGGCCTCTCCTGGCTGTGTCTGGGGGATGTGCTTTCCTCCAGGGTCTTCACTCTTTCAAGGAATTTGGTGAGTCGGGAACAGGATCTGGAAAAGGGCAGAGCAAGGGTGTTAGCCCAGCTTGCAGCTGTAGAGATCCTCCTCCAAGCTTTGCTCTTCCATGGAAAAACAAGAGGTCTTGGGCTCCTTCCCACCTTCAAAGCCCTGGGACTTGGTGTCCCATGAAACGCAAAGTTCGCAGCCCATATTTAAGCCCCTCCACACACACCTCTCCCCTTCACGCCACCTCCAGCTGCCCCTTCCCACCCCTCCCACAGCAGGTGGGATGCTCAGTGTTGCCAGTCACTCACCCAGTGTTGGGAAGAAGCAGTCCCCAGGGCCTGGGGGGGACAGGGGGGTGCTGGGCTCAGAGAGCAGGTGCCGGCCGGACTCGGAGGGCTGCCTGCTGGCCATGTAGGTGAGCTGGGGTCGTGGTCGTGGCTCCGAGGGGACTGCCTCAAAGACAGGGTTTTCAATGCCCTGGGCACTGCTGTGGGGAAAGGAGAGGGGTGTGAGGGATTTGCAGGTTTGTTTTGGGTTTTTTTTTTTATTTCAGCAGCCTTTGGTTTGGTTTGGTTCTGTTTTAAATCCTTTCAGGGGGGTTTTGGCTGAGCGGCTGGGAACAACCCAGCGGGACGGGGAGCAAGTTGAGGCAGTGGCACCTTGGCAAGCAGGGATCTGGGGACAGGAGGAAAAGCTTTAGCTGAAAGGCACCCTGGTTTTTGAGCTCTCCTAGGGCGTGGGGAGCTGCATGCCCAGGCAAAAAGAAAGGAGGCATTTCCCACTCAGAGGGAGGGAAGAGAAACAGTGGCTTTCCAGAAAGGGACAGGACCCCAGGCGTGGGTGCCACCAGCATCCCGTTTGCTCTGCCAGGCTCAGGGTACACTCTGGCTTCTAGGGGAGGAGAGGACAAGCCCCTGGCAGGGTCCAGGATTTGGGCAGAGGAGGTGCAAGGAGGTTGAAGGCAGCTGGAAGCCTGTGGGTTTCCTCACCTGTCCATCCTGACGAGCTCATGGGCACCTGCCAAAGACAAAACCGTTGGCATGAACTGCACTCTTTGGTCTCATCCCTGTCCAGTTCCTTCTCTTCCTCTGCATTCCTCCCTTCCTTTCCCCCTTCCTTAGCATCAGCCCTGTTGTTTCCAAGCCCCCTTCTCTGCATCCCTGCCATCTCCCACCAGGTTTACTGCCCAGGTTCCTCCCAGACCGCAACCACAAGCTCTGAAGGAGGGGGAAAGCAGTGCCTGGATGCACCCACCACCCACCTGGGACACCCTCCCACACTACCCTGGCATTTGGCTGCCCCAGACAAGGGCAGCACCCTGTTTTTTATTTCCTCATCCCCTTTGCTGCAGCAGATATGGAACCCTTGTCCCTTGGGTGTGCCAAGTGGCTGCACGGTGACCACTCCAAGTGCCAGTTTTGGCCCAGACTGTGCTAGTGGAAATAAGTTGGAATGGACTTGCCAGGGAAGTGGTGGAGGCACCATCCCTGGATATGTTCAAGGAAAGGCTGGATGTGGCACTTGGTCTGGCTGATGTGGTGGTGTTGGTCATAGGCTGGACTTGATGATCTTCAAGGTCTTTTCCAGCCTTGGTGATTCTGTGATTCTAAGCTGAGCCTGGTGTGAGACACTCCAGCAGCAAATCCACCTGGATTTTGCCTTGCCTCTCGGGTTAAGTAGCACCCAGGTGATGCTTTGCAGCACGGGGCAGGGGCAGCTGCACCCCAGCTGAGGCCAAATGGGTGCATGAACACACAGAGCCAGGCTTTTCAGCCAGGGATGGGTGCTGAAGGCGCAGTTCCCGTTCCAGTGCCTGGCACCGTGGCTGCTGCTGCTGCTGCAAAAACCACTTCTCCAGAGGGTTTGCTCAGAGCCACCCACTGGGATTGGTGAGAGAAACCACAGGGCCCCAGCTCGCCCGAGGCCTGAGGAAACAGCTCTGCTGGTTAAGGTGGGGCCTCTTTCTGCTTCATTACTGAAGCCCCTGGGAGCCTGGCATGGGCTGGAGCTGGCAGCCTGCTGGGGAGGCAGAGGAGGGAGACCTGGCTTGCTGCAGTCACACAATCACAGCATCAGTTTGATTGGAAAAGACCTTTCAGATCATCAAGTCCAACCAGTAGCCCAGCACTGCCAAAGCCACCACTAAACCGTGGCCTTCAGCACCACATCTACAGGGCTTTTAAATCCCTCCAGGGTTGGTGGTGCCACCACTGCCCTGGGCAGCCTGTGCCAGGGCCTGACAACCCTTTTGGGATTCCCAGTATCCAATCTGAACCTCCCCTGGCACAACTTGAGGCTGCTTGCTCATGTTCTGTTCTTTTCACTTGGGAGAGGAAAGAGACTGACTCCCCTGGCTCCACCTCCTTTCAGGTGGTTGTAGAAATCAAGGTCTCCCCTCAGCCTCCATTTCTCCAGGATGAGCACCCTCAGCCACTCCTTTTAAGACTTGTTCTCAAGAACCTTCCCCACCTCCATTGCCCTTCTCTGGACGCGCTCCTATTGCCATAGACATTTTTAAAGGGTCTTTTTAAAGAAGAGAGGAGGAAAAGCACAGCTGATGCTTTTTCAACCACTTAGAAGGCAAAACTATGGCTTGGAGGCAGGGATGAGCCAGCTCCCTCAGTGGATGGGGAGGTAAAAGCTCAGGAGAAGGGGGCCTGGCAGAATCTTCTTCACCATGAGGGTGGTGAAACATTGGCCCAGGTTGCTCAGGGACACTGTGGATGTCCCATCACTGGAAGTGCCCAAAGCCAGGTTGGATGGGGCTTGAAGCACCCCGTTTTAGTGGGAGGTGTCCCTGCCCGTGGCAGGAGGCTGCAACTTAATGATCTTTGAGGTCCCTTCCAGCCCAAACCTATGACACTTCCTGCCTCCTGATGGCCACAGGGACACATCCCAGGAGATGAGATGAGGGCAGGGTACGTACGTCTGTTGCTGACAGCTTGTCTCTGCTTGTAGATGACGAGCAGGATGAGGGGCAGGCAGAGGATGCCCACGATGCAGGCGCCCGTGGCCAGCGCGGCAGCTGTGATATCTGCAAGGGAAGGGGATTCCTCAGGGCCGTGGGGGAAACGTGGGGCAGCAAACCAGTGTTTGCCCCACACTGGATGCAATACAACTCACACACACACGGGAGGTCTGCTCCTAGAGGGATAAGCACTGGGAAGCACGGGCTGTTGCAGAGATAAGCTCTGAGCTGCTGGTTTAGGACCTTGACCAAAGTCCTTCACTGCTGGAGGACACCTCAAGGGCTGTTACTGGTCTTCAAGATATGAGGAGAGCAGCCTGATAAAGGCCCTGTGAACTCAGCAGAAAGGATCTCAGTGATTTCCAAGTTCACCCACCCTGATCCATGGCCAGCTCATCAAAAATGGGCTCATTACCCAAGGCCTCTGCTAACGAACGTGTCCCTGGAGAGCTCTACTGTGGAGGCTCCCCAGAAAGGCTGGCAGCCATAGGCACATCTGTGGCCATCAAGGTCGATGTGGGACAGCTTGTGGTGGGGTCAAGGGCTGCCTAAATCAAGGGCAGGTTTGCCTCAAGCCCTCCTGCCCAGCACATCCATCTGAGGAAGCAGCCTCTTGCTCTGGCTGTGTCTTGGGGCAGGGAGGTGGGATTTTTTTCCCCCTTTTCTTTTTTGCCCAGCAGGACAGGGTGGCCCAGCATCTAGGGCTGAGCATCTGAGCTGGAAATTACTGCTCACAGGGAGGATGGTGCAGGTTCTCATGCCTGGCCTGGCCCCCCACCTTGCTGTAAGCCAATTTGGGCAAAAATCCACCTGTTTAGCAGCCAGCTAACGGGGCAGACAGAGCAACCCACAGAGAAACCACCTGCATAGCAAAGTGTCCAGTGTCTAGACACAGTGGTGGGGGGGGCCTCATGTCATTTGAGTGCTCAAGCAAGATTTGGGTTTCCCCTGCTGGAGCATTTCTGCTCAGGGCAAGGAGGCATGGGCTCAGGACAGCAGTGGATGGTTCAAAAGGCTCCTGTGACCCTTTACCTTTCTGTCTCTTCCTACCTGCTTGTG